GGAGCCGAGCCCCGCCCCCCGCGACCTTTCCACTCACCCGGCCCGCGTGGGCGCGGAGGAAACCCCCGGAGCACTATGGGGGGGGGAATCCCCGAGGGGGCGTGGCTCGGGGAGCCCCGCGCGGGGGAGGGGGAGGGGAGTCCCCGCGGGATGGGGGCGGGGAGCCTGGGAAGGAGGGGGCAGGGCGGGTCCTGGTGCCTGTGGAGAGGGGGAGGGAGGACTCCAGGGAGTAGGGCGCGGGGCAGAGGTCAAGTGCAGGGAGAATCAGTGGGGTGCAGGGTTTTTTTTGGGGGGGCTATGGCTATGAAATGTAAGGGGAGCCCAGAGGGGAAGATGGAGAATTAGCTGCAGAGAACCCCCTTCCCCTCCCCCAGAGAGAGAGAGGGAGGGGAAGGGGGTCTCAGAGATGGAGCTGGTTGAGGGGCATGGGGTGCAGAGGGGATCCAGTCCTGGCTGATGAGGGGAGGGGGCGGAGAAGAGGACTGGGGGGCGGGGGTTCCAAACCTCCCACAGCTCAGCCCCTCCCTGAGCTCCTCCTAGCAGGCTGGTGGCCCGGAGGTGACCTGTCCTGCAGGTCCCTGCTTGGCTGCCTGGGACGCTGGCTGGCCTCCAGGCCTGGTGACCTGGGGTCCTCTATGTAGTGGGAGGAGGGACCCCAGAGCTCTGGAGACAAATACAGTGACTGGGGCTTAACTTCTCCATGCCTCAGTTTCCCCTTCTGAAAAGAAATGGGGTCTGTGATCTACCACATAGATTATGTGGTTAGAATGCAATTTACAGCTGAAATTACACTTTGTGTGTGTGTGTGGGGGGGGGTTCTCAGGCTTGAACTCTAGTCTTGAACACTGTCCTGAGTTCCCTTTTTGCCAGGCTAGTGCTCTACTACTTGAGCCACAGCCTGGCTTCCAGCTTTCTCCTGTGATTAATTGGAGATAAGAGTCTCAAGGACTTTCTGGCCTGGGTTGGCTTTGAACCAACATCCTCAGCTCTGAGCTTCCTGAGTAGCTAGGATGACAGGTGTGAGCCACTGGCACTTGGCTGAAATGACACTTTTACAGTAAAAATGGAAAGTCAGTGCCCCCCCCACACACACACGGCTGATCCCCCCAGGCCTGAGGCTGACATCTTGGAACAGCACCCACGCCCTCCTGCTACTCAGCCACCAGTTCCACTTTGCTTCATCTCTCCCTGGTGTAAACCACAAGCACCCTTACATTTGACACCCCATTCCCCCCACACACCTAGGGAGGGAACAATCTGCCCTGTGGGTTTTTAGAAGAAGAGACAGAGGCTGAGAGTCCAGGAGCCACAGTGTGGGATTGTGGGAGACCTGCAGGGTGGGCATGCCCAGCTGCACTCACCAGCTCCTCCCTCCTTCCTCTGGGCTTCACACAGGCTCAGGGAGAAATTGTCACAGGTCACCAAAGTTCAGACAGGCCCTTGGCCATTGCCTTGGGGACACGGTGCCAAGAGTCATGTGTGTGTGTGTGTGTGTGTGTGTTCCTTGGACTGCAAGCAGGACAAACTTGGCAGTGTCAGCAGTGGGTTGTAGACAGACAGGCATGATCCCACTGACGAAGCCACGCCCCTGCATTAGGCCACGCCTCTTGTGTGAAGCCACGCCCCCACCGGACCACCTCCCACCTGAGCCAAGACCACACTGCTGAGCCACACTCCATCCATTTTGCTTTTTTCCTCCTCATCATCATCGTCGTTTTTATTATGTAGCTGTCCCAAGGAGCTACAATTTCATAAGTCACAGATTATAAATACATTGCTTCTTGGTCAAGGCCAAGCCTTCCTTCAGTTCTCCTCCATTTTCCATCGCTTGTTGGTTTTTACATACTGTACATTGGTTATCCTGACTACACTTGCTCACCTGTGTTTTCTCTCTCTCTCTCCAGATGTTCTTGTGACAAGAGATCTCTCTTCCTCCACCTCCTGAGCAGCTGGGATGTCGGCCTCGTCATATGTCTTCATCCTTGGCAACAACGCTTCAAGGTAGGTACTGTCTGTTACTGCTTTTACAGAAAGGGAACAGGTCGTTCCCAAAAGCCAGAGGTCACACAGCTGGAGAGAGACTGAGTCAAGATCTGCCTGAGTCAAAGTTACAGCCATACACACACACACACATCATGCATTAGTACGAAGTATATGCACATATGTTCACATATAATTGGATGGTATTGGAGCACACAGAATGTTGTACAAACCATCACTTCCAGATCATTTCATGAGCCTGTCCCCAGCTCCTGACAAGTCATCTTCCCTGTGCTGGATCCAGTCTGTTCGGGACGGTTTCCTATCCGTGGAGCCTGACGCTCTCTGGGCCTTGTGAGTCTGTTGCTCTCGCTGAGTGCGTGGCCTCAGGGCTCCACCACATCCAGGGAGGGTCAGGATCACAGTTTGCACTAGCAGGGCCCACCTACCCTGGGTGTGCCCCTGGGAAGTGGAGCAGCTGGCCACGAGGGCCCTAGTGTCCCCCAAGGGCCTACTCAGGGTGATCAGACAGACCCCCAATTCCTCTTCAGTGAGCAGAGCTGGGTGTGTTTTTCACACGTCTCAGGATCTAAGCTGAGCTCTCTACCTGGCTCTCTACCCTCACCCCCACTCTAGTCTGTGGTTATAGCCCTCCTCAGCCTCCGCTCTGGGGTCTTCTCAGGTACCCCTTCTTCCAAGAAGCCCTCTGGACAGGGGTGATTCTTCGGCTAGCTCCACCCACCTACCAGCACTGGCCCAGTTTGTGTGCTAGTCCTGGGTCTTGAACTTAAGGCCTGACAGTAGTCTCTGAGATTTTTATTTATTTATTTATTTTTGTCGGGCATGGGGCTTGAACTCTGGGCCTGGCGCTGTCAGCTCTTCAGCTCAAGGCGAGCGCTCTACTGCCTGAGCCGCTGGTGGTTCAGTGGAGAAGAGACTCTCATGGACTTTTCCTGCCCAGCCTGACTTTGAGCTGTAATTCTCAGCCTCCTGAGTAGCTAGGATTATAGGCGGGAACCACCAGCACCCAGCAGATTTTTCTTTTTTTCTCTGCCATTTGGCTCATAGCTCCACGTCTGGCTTTTTGGAGATATGAGTCTCATAGACTTTCCTGTCCGGGCTAGCTTCAAACCAAGATTCTCAGATCTCAGCCTCCTGAATGGCTGGGATGACAGGCGTGACCACGTGGAACAGGACGCTGGGCCCACCGGCAGGTTTGTAAGGCCGTTTTCCGTGGTCAGTGTTAGCCACACAGACTCCCAGAGGAATGGGAGGCCTGTTTTCTCTCCTTCAGAGACCTCAGAATGGGGGCTGGGGGACCCAGTCTCAGCTGCTGGCACTTCTTATAGGCCTGTGGTAGAGTCAATCAATCCCCAGAGAAGTTGAGATTGACGTGTTGATAATGACCTTTCCTGTCCGGCCTCCAGGACAGGCTGTCTTGTCTCTTGGCCTGGGGACTGTTGGATCCTGGCCATGTCTGATGACACCACTGGGCTCAGGGAAGCTGGCCCTGCGGAGGTGGCCAGGCGCGTGACCTCCTTGAGTGTTTCCTCATCTGGAGCACTAGCAGGACATTGCTCTAGGAACGGCATCCCGCTGTTGGCCATAGCCTAGATCTTCAATGAATTAAAATCGTTTAAAGCTTGAGCTGGGGGCGGGGCCCAAGGGGTAGAAGTGACAGTTATTGCCTAATAGTGGGTGTGGCTTGAGGGGCGGGACTCAGATGTACAGGGGGCGTGGCTTGCGTGGTAGAGCCACTGCCTAACAAGGGCCAAGCTCAGAGTTTAAAGGAAAACAGTGGGGGGGAGGGGGGGCTCAGTGGTAGAGCGCTTGCCTCGCATGCATGAGGCCCTGAGTTCGATTCCTCAGCACCACATAAGCAGAAAAAAGCCGGAAGTGGCACTATGGCTCACAGAGTTCAGCCCCATGACCAACCAAAAAATAAAAATAAAATAAAGGAAAACAGCCGGGCACAGGAGGCTCAGGCTTGTAATCCTAGCTACCCAGGAGGCTGAGATCTGAAGATCCGGGTTCCAAGTCAGCCTATTTATGAGACTCACCTCCGATTCACCATCAGAAAGCTGGCAATGGAGCTGTGGCTCGAAGTAATAAAGCACTAGCCTGGAGCAAAAATAAAAGCTCAGGGACAGCACCCAGGCCCTGAGTTCAAGCCCCAGGATGGGCAAAAACAACAGCAAAAAACTTATTCTTTTGGAAGTTGCACAGCTGTGTACCTTACTTACATGCTTCCTACCCGGGCACAAATGTGCGTACGCAAACACGCATGCGTGTGTGGAC